GGGAAAGACGACGACTCCTTAAAGGGCCAGCGGTCCCCATAACACCTGATCTAAGTGGAGAAGCTGGGTCTTTTTCTCTGGGGGATGTCTTAAGTGTCTAAGCAATGAGTTAAGATCCAAAGAGGCAGCCCCTGCTGTAGGGCAAGGTGTCCTTTTAATTGCAAAAAAATAAAAAAGGGCAAGATGGCAGCGCGTGCAGTGGTTCGCACCTGAGTTCGATCCCGGAACCCACGTGCTGGCCTCTGACATCCACAGGTATACTGAGGCAGGTGGACCCACACACAATAAAATAAATAAATAATAAATAGGCTAGAGATGGCTCAGCAGTTAAGAGCACTGGCTGCTCTTGCAGAGGACCCAGGTTCAGCTCCCAGCACTTACATGGTGGCTAAGAACAGTATGTAACTTAGGGGATCTGATGCCATCTTCTGACTTTCGACGGCTTTGCATACACAAGGTGCACTTACATACGAGCAAAACACTCATACACATAAAAATAAAGTAAATGTCGTTTTTCAAAATAGTGCACTGGGGAAATAGTTCCCTATTCATTCTCTGCTCTTAGGTTGCTGGTTTCTTTCTTTGGAGCCTTGATTTTCCTGTCTGAACAATGGGTACGCTGCATCATATGAAAGACTAAGAGTCTGCACAGCTGACACTCAAATCTGGGACAGATGCTGAGCTGAGGTCATTTTGTGTCAAAACTGAGCTTTTAAAAGACCATCCTTTTAAAGGCGTGGTGGCGCACACCTTTAATCCCAGCACTTGGGAGGCAGAGGCAGGTAGATCTCTGGTAGTTCAAGGCCAGCCTGGTCTACACAGTGAGTTCCAGGACAGCTGGAGCTACAGGGAGACCCTGTCTCAAAAAGACCAAAAAAAAAAAAAAAAAAAAAAAAAAGAGAGAGACCATCCTGGGCCAGGCCTGAGGACACACCTTTAATCCCAGCCCTCAGGAGGCAGAGGTAGGTGGATCTCTGTGAGATCAAGGCTTTCAGGCCAGTTGGGACTAGGGAGACCCTATCAAAAAACAAACAACAAGAAAAAACAAACAAAAAAGACTATCCCAGGCTTGTGAGATGGCTTAACAGGCAAAGGTGTTTGCTGAAAGGACTTGAGTTCCACCTGCAGGACCCTCATAAAAAAGGGGCAAAGGACACCACAGGACAGCATTGTCCAACGAGATTTCCACTCTGAGCCCCTGTAAAAGTCCACAGTCAAACAGCAATTGAAGGGCCTGGAGAGCTGGCTCAGCAGTTAAGAGCACTGGCTGTTCTTACAGAGGACCTGGGTTCAAATCCCAGTACCCACAAGGTAGCTAACAACCATCAGTAACTCCAGTTCCAGGGGATCCAATAACCTCTTCTGACCTCCATGGGCAATGCACACACATGGTGCATTTACATACAGGCAGGCAATACTCTCATACACAGGCTAGGCATGATGGTGCACACCGTTAATCCCAGCATTCAGGAGGCAGATGCAGGCTGGTCTCTGTGAGTTTGAGGCCAGCCTGGACTCCAGCAAATTTCAGGTCAGCTGGTGCTTCAGGGAGACCCTGTCTCAAAATTAGAAAAATAAATAAATAAATAAAAAAGCTATACACATAAAATAAAAATAAATATAAACATTTTAAATGTCATTTGTTGAGTTGGAACTTGCTAAGCTTGAACCTGGTGTCTGGGCTCAGGCTTGTTTTTTCTTCATATAACAGAGGATGCCATGTGGACTCTGGGTAGAATAAGCACTGTGTGGATTGACTTACAGCCCCATCCCACTGGGTGCTGCTAAAATTTCGTATAGAAAATTGGTCTCCAAGAGGATTATGTCAGTTGGGCTACCTGGCACAAGCCTGCTGTGAAGTAACTCAGGATACTTAGGAAGGAGGTTGGTGTAGTAGAGGCCTAACTTGACACTCTGTCTCAAGTATAAAGTGAAGTAAAAGAGAAAAATGGCTCAAGCCCTTGCCTAGAAACCCCAGTGAGGGGCGGATGCAGGGCTCCCGGGTAGAGTGACAGCCTAGAGTCCCCAGTGAGGGGCTGGGGGCGTGGCTCAGGGTAGAGTGACAGCCTAGAGTCCCCACTGAGGGGCTGGGGTCAGGGGTCAGCGCTTGCCTGACTTGTATTAGGGTTGGTTCCATCCCCAGCGCTGTAGGAAAGTAAAAATGCAGCTGGTGAAGCTGTGGAACGTTGATCCAGACCATGATGTAGGTGAATCAGGTTGTGGCACACAGAGGCTTCATCATGTTTTCATAGGACGACACATGTGCACACAGACACCTACCTGTAGGTATGTTTATGTTTGGCCATTATGGGAAGTGCAGGTGACTTCTGAAAACTCCCAGGTTGCCAGAGTGCTGGGGTGACTATATTATGAAGTGGGGCATGTAAAGAAGGAGTCACTGAATTAAGATGAGGTCATTAGGGTGCAACTGAATCAAATGTGACCAGCATCTTACAAAAGGAGTATTTGTGGGCCTGGAGAGATGGCTCAGCGATTAAGAACACTGACTGTTCTTGCAGAAGACCAGGGTTAGAATTCCAGCACCTACATGTCAGCTAACAACTGTCTAGAACTCCAGTCCCAGGGGATCCGAGAGCCTCTTCTGACCTCGCAGGCATTGCACGACATGGGTGCACTTAACTACATGCAGGCAATACATGCATACACATAAAATAAAAATAATAAATAAAAGGGGATATTTGTAATAAAATGCCTATATATACATAAAATATATCAGGGTCTTTCTGTAGGCCCAGCTGGCCTGGAATTCTCTATGTAGACCAACTAGGCTGGCCCCAAACTCACAGAAATCTGCCTGCCTCTGCCTCCCAAGTGCTGGGACTAAAACCATGTGCCACCATGCCCAGCATATGTATGTATTTTTGAGACAGGGTCTCCCTGTAGCCTGCCTGCCTCTCCCTCCCAAGTGTTGGGATTAAAGGCATGTGCCTCCACACTTGGCTATAAAATATATTTTTTAGAAGTAATAATTTATTGAGAATTTCATACATGTATATAAGGTGTTTTGATCAAATCCATGCCCACTCCCTCCTCTCCAACTCCTCCCATATCTCCCCATCACTTTTTTTCTGATAACTTCATGTACTCTTTCTTCTTTGATTTAAAACTTTTTTTTTTTTTGGTCTTTTTGAGACAGGGTCTCCCTGTAGCCCCAGCTGTCCTGGAACTCACCATACTGTAAACCAGGCTGGCCTCGAACTCACAGAGATCCGCCTGCCTCTGTCTTCCGAGTGCTGGGATTAAATGTGTGTGCCACCAGGCCCAGCTAAAATATTTTTTAAAAGGAGAGATGGCTCAGTGGTTAAGAGCACTGGCTGCTTTTGCAGAGGACCTGGGTTCGGTTCCCAGCACCCACATGGCAGCTAACAACTGTCTGTAACTCCAGTTTCAGTGGCTCTGATGCCCTCTTCTGGCCTCTGAGGGCATTGCACTTATATGGTGCACTTAGCACACATGCAGGCAAAACACTCACATACACAAAAATAAATAAAGCCAGGGGTGGTGGCACACGCCTTTAGTCCTAGAACTTGGGAGGCAGAGGCAGGCAGATCTCTGTGAGTTTGAGGCCACCCTGGTCTACTTAATGAGTACCAGGCCAGCTGGGGCTATAGGGAGACCCTGTCTCAAAAAGACTTAAAAAAAACATAAATAAATAAAATATAAAAGGGGAGATTTGAAAATGTTTTCATTTAAATTTTATGTGTGTCTAGTGCATTGCTTACATGTAAGTGCACCCATGTCATATGACAATACAGTGCCCACAGAGGCCAGAAGAGGTTGTTGAATCCCCTGGAGCTGGCGTTATGGATGGTTGTGAGCTGCCATGTGGATGCTGGGAATCGAATCCAGGTCCTCTGCAAGAGCAGCCAGTGCTGTTAACCTCTGAGTCAGCTCTGCAGCCCGAAATGGGAGATTTGCTTATAGGCAGAGGTTCCCCCAACAAGCAGGGGCTCGTAGGTAGCCTTGAACTTGCATTCCTTTTTAAAAATTTTTAGTGTGAAGTCTGGGGGCAAAGTTCAGTGAGCAGAGTGCTTGTAACTCAGTGGGCAGAGTGCTTGTAGCTCAGTGACTACAGTGCTGGTGGCTAAGTAGGTAGAGTGCTTGTAGCACAGTGGGAAGAGTACATGTAGCTCAGTGGGAAGAATCCTCGTACCTCAGTGGGTAGGGTGCTTGTAGCTTAGTGGGTAGAGTGCTTATAGCTTAGTGAATAGAACACTGGCCTACCATGCAGGAGGCCCTGTGTTCCATCCCCAACAGCACATAAGCCCGGCTTGGTGGTGCATACCACCTGTTATCCCAGCAGGAGGCAGGAGGAGTTATTTTTTTTTTTATTTTTTGGTATTTTTTTATTTTTTTTTTTTTGAGACACGGTCTCCCTGAAGCCCCAGCTGGCCTGGAACTCACTATGTAGACCAGGCTGCACTTGAATTCACAGAGCGTCGCCTGCCTCTTCCTCTGAGTGCTGGGATTAAAGACGCGTGCCACCATGCCCGGCTGACCCTGAATTCTTGATCTTCCTGCCTCAGCCCCCCCAAGAATTGTGTGCACCACCACACCTGGTTTATGGGGTGCTGGGCTTATAAACCAGGATCCTGTACATGCTAGGCAAGCACTCTACCCACTGAACACCAGTCCAACTCCTTTTATCTATTTATTTTTGAGACAGGGTCTCATGTAGCCCAGGATGGCCTCCAAGTTGCTATATAACAGAGGATGAACCTCGAACTCCTGCTCCTGCCACTCCTGCCTCAGTCTTCCAAGTGCTGGGATGACAGGCATGTGCCACCACACTCTGCTTCTAGCAGCTTCAGGGGGAAATAGGGTATATCTGGGTGTCTGGTCTTTTTGAACCTAGTTAGTATTTCCCAGCCCTGATCCTGTGGGGAAGGCAGGAGGAGGCTCAGCCTGGACTCAGGTGGAAAGGTAGGCTGTCACGGGAGGGCACTGGGCAGCCATGGAAGGTCCTAGAGAACCATGGTGCCCAGTCATCACCCTGGCTGGGTCAGACAGGATCAGAAAGCCCACTGGAACTTTGGCTCTCCAGCCAGAGGCTTGGGGTTGAACAGGGTCACATTAAAGCTTCAAAGAAGGGGATGATTTCCTCTAAATTCATGACTGGAAAGAGAGGCTTTGGAGGCTCTAGAAGATCAGAATGAGGTTAAGGGAAGAATGGGTGCCCAGTCCCTCAGGGTGGGGCACATGGGTGGGGGGTGGGGCAGGACAGGTCCAGGCAGCCTTTGATACCAAGCCAGTCCCAGGGATTCTGGACGCCAAGCCCCGCGTCGCCCCCCATCTGCAGGCTTCAAATAGGATATCCTGGTGGCCAGAGTCCAGCCTCAGGGTGTGTGTGTGTGGGGGGGGGGCTGGCTTTGATGGCCAGGCCTGGACCTGCTGATGTGAGTGACAGGATTACTGAGGCTCTTCAGAAACTTTCTGAGATCTAAGGGTGCCTTCAGGGGAGGGCAAGGTCTCCAGTAAGCCAGCAAGCCTCAGTTTCCCTCACTGTCCAATGAAGACATGAGACAGATAGATACATAGATGTGATGGAGGGGGTGGCATGCAACACACACCTGTCTCTAAATTTATTTATTTTCTTGTCTTTTTGAGACAGGGTCTCCCTGTAGCCCCAGCCGTCCTGGAACTCACTATGTAGACCAGGCTGGCGTCGAACTCACAAAGATCTGCCTGCCTCTGCCTCCCCAGTGCTGGGATTAAAGGCGTGCTCCACCATGCCTGGCTAAATTTAAAATTTTAAAGTATTTTATTATTTTTATTTTTTGTGTATGAGTGTTTTGTTTGCATGTATATTAAGTGCAACCATGTCATGCAATGCCTGTGAAGGTCAGAAGAAGGTGGGAGATCGCCTGGAGCTGTAGTTACAGACCATTGCTAGCCACCATGTCCTCTACCCAAGTAGTCAGTGCTCTTAACCACTTAGTCATCTCTCCAGCCCCTAAATTTAAATTTAATTAAAAATTCTTAGGGTCTCACTGTATAGCTCAGGCTGGCCTGGACCTCACTGTGTAGACCTGGCTGGCTGCCTGCCTCATTCTCCCCAGTCCTAGGATCAAACATGTGCACCACCACATCTGGATATTATTTTTTCTTTTAAAGACAGGACTTCTCTATGTAGCCCAGGTTAGTATGGTTAGTATATAACTGCTGAGCCTCAACAAATCTCTGTGAGCTCAAGTCTAGCCTGGTCTACAAAGTGAGGTGGTGCATTCAGCAGTTAAGAGCACTGGCTGCTCTTGTAGAGGATCAGGGTTTGGTTCCCAGCACCCACATGGCAGCTAACAACCATTCATAACTCCAGTTCCAGAGGATTCACTACCCACTTCTGGCCTCTCAGGGCATTGCACAACATGGGTGTACATAGGTACATATATGCAGGTAATACACTCATAAAATAAAAATAAAATTTAAAAACCTTGAAATAAAATTTAAAAGGAGCTATTTTTTTAAATAAAACAATCAAAGGAACAAGTAGAGGCCTGTGGGGTGCCCCAACTTGGATACAGAAAGAAGTTAAGCCAGAGCCCCCCACTCCAGGCCAGCCCTTCCAAGGAGTTAAACAAGGAGTCGAATCCCTGAGGCTAAACGCTGGGCTGCTCATCCTCACTCATCTCAGCTCTGCTGCCAAGGATGGTGCCCAGGGTCTCAGTTTCCATATCTGAGAAATGCTGAGAAGGAAATGCAAACCACAGGCTAACCCTTGGCCTGAAAGTCTGGCTGGAGCCTACCCCTCAGGGAGGAAAAATCAAGTTCTATCTCTCTATCTTTATCTTACAGTCAGCTCTGGCTCTGGTTTATCTTCCAACACCCAGGACAACCCGGGCCAGGCCACCTCCCCAGAGGACACATCCTCCCGCTGCCAGGGTCTCCCTGTGTAGCCTAGGCTGGCCTGGAACAAACTACGTATACCAGGTTGGCCTGGATCTCACAGAGACCAACCTGCTGGGACTAAAGGTCTGCACCACTGCACCTGGCTAGCCTTGAACACCACGAGATCCGCCTGCCTCTGCCTCCCCAGTGCAGGGATTAGAGGTGTGTCCCACCACAACCTTTGAGACTTTTATTTATTTATTATTTTTATTTTATGTGTATGCGTGTATTGCCTGCATGTAGGTAAGTGCACCCGTGTCCTGCAATGACCACGGAGGTCAGAAGAGGCTGTCAGATCCCTTGGGACTGGAGTTGCAGACAGTTGTTAGCTGCCATGTCGAACCCGGGTCTTCTGCAAGAACAATCAGTGCTCTTAAACTCTGAGCCATCTCTCCAGCCCCGAGACTCTGTCTTAAAATTAAAACAGAGCCGGGCGTGGTGGCGCTCGCCTTTAATCCCAGCACTAGGGAGGCAGAGGCAGGCGGATCTCTGTGAGTTCAAGGCCACCCTGGTCTACATAGTGAATTCCAGGCCAGTTGGGGCTACTGGGAGACCCTGTCTTAAACTCCCCCCAAATTAAAATAAACAAACAAAACAAAAATGAGCAGCTGGGTCTGGGGTTCAGTGGGTAGAGTGCTTGTAGCTCAGTGGCACGAAGCTGTGGGTTCATCTCCAGCACCACATAAACCAGGCGTGGTGGTGCATGCCAGTCATCCCCAGCACTGAGAAGGTGGAGGCAGGAGGATCCGGAGTTCAAGGTCATCCTCAACTACGTAGAGAGTTTGAGGCCAGCCCGAGGGAAGAAACAAAAAAAGATAAAATTCCCGGAGGAGGCCAGCGGGTGGACCGCCTCCACATCCCGTGATCTTTCCTGGAAGTGTGTGGGGGAGTGCGGCCCAGGCACCTGGGATGTGACTCACCAGTTCTCTGCCAAGTCCGCTGGGCGGCTTCCCCTTCCTAGAACGCAGGATTGAAACTGGCTCTGGCACGTGGGAACTCTGGCACCTGCGGTCCTCATTAAAGGCTAGCCAGAGCTATAAAGCGGAACGCCACTATTATCTGTAATTACTAATTAATTAGTACTAATAAGTCCCCCAAGCATCCCATTGTTAACCTCTGGGTCAGGACCACCCCGATGCGTTCACGCTCAGTCCCTGCCTGTGCCCCCAGCCCACCCCGTGCACCCTGTGCATTAGGCCTGGGCCTGCAGGGTGGCGGGGGGTGGGGGGGGTGAAGGATGGAGGATGGCAGACAGCCAGGCCCCCCTCTGTACACAAGCCCAGCGTCTTGACGCACACCTTACACCCATCCCAGCACTCGGAAGTCTGAGTCAGGAGGATCAGGAGTCCAGGGTCATCCTCCGCTACATAGGGAGTTCCAGGTCAGCCTGGGCTACCAGAGACCATGTCTCAAAAACAAGCCGGGCGTGGTGGCACAGGCCCTTAGTCCCAGCAGTCCGGAGGCAGAGATAGGCTGGATCTCTGTGAGATTCAGGTCAAGTTGGTCTACATGGCGAGAATCAGGCCAGCCGGGGCTACACAGTGAGACCCTGTCTCAAATAAACTCAAAATTCAAAAGAAACAAAATTCTATAATGAAAGCGCCCGCAACGTTCAGGGGCTGGCGCTAGGACCGCTCAGCGCGCCCAGCAGCAGGCCACACCCTCTTGCTGTTGATTGGGCGCCCGGCCGCGGCGCGCGTCTCTGGTTGGTGCTGGTGGCTGTCACTCCCCGGGCCCCCGCCCCGCCCCGAGCAGGGCCTTGTTGGGCGGGCGCCCCGGCTGCCGAGGGCCGCGGCTGGGCGCGGTGGAGTCTGCGGCGCTTCTGCCCCGCGATGTCGCCACCGCCGGGGGACTCGGGCCCGGGGCCGCCCCGCTCGCTGTCCCCGGCGTCGCGTGTTGATTGGGCGCCCGGCCGCGGCGCGCGTCTCTGGTTGGTGCTGGTGGCTGTCACCCCCGGGGCCCCCCCCCCGCCCCGAGCAGGGCCTTGTTGGGCGGGCGCCCCGGCTGCCGAGGGCCGCGGCTGGGCGCGGTGGAGTCTGCGGCGCTTCTGCCCCGCGATGTCGCCACCGCCGGGGGACTCGGGCCCGGGGCCGCCCCGCTCGCTGTCCCCGGCGTCGCGGCTGAGCTTCGCGGTTGGCCACTTCCTGAACGACCTGTGCGCTGCCATGTGGTTCACGTACCTGCTGCTCTACCTGCACTCGGTGCGCGGCTACAGCTCGAGAGGCGCCGGGCTCCTGCTGCTGCTGGGTCAGGCGGCCGACGGGCTCTGCACGCCGATCGTCGGCTACGAGGCCGACAGGGCCGCCCCCTCCTCCTGCGGCCCGCGCAAGGCCTGGCACCTCGCGGGTGAGCGCCCCACCCAACGGCTAGCACCCCTGCTGCCCCCGACCCCGACTGCCCGCGACCCCGACTGCCCCTCCTGTACCTTGACTGTCTCCTGTACATCTACTGTCACCCCGTTCCCCAGTGTCCCCCCATACCCTGTCACTCCTGTACCCTGACTGTCCCCCTGTACCTGTACCTTGACTGTCTCCCCATACCCTATGGTCCCCTGTACCCTGACTGTCATCCCCTGTACCCTGTCACCCCATCCCCTGTCACCTCTGCACCCTGTCATCACCTGAATTCCAACTGTGCCCCCCACACCCTGTCACTCCTGTACCTGGACTGTCACCTCTGTACCCTCACTATTCTGTAACCTGACTGTCCCCTTATATCCTGACTGTCCCCCCTTATCCTGTCACCTCTGTACCCCGACTGTCATCCCCTACACCCTGTCGCCCCTGTACCCCACTGTCACCCTGTACCCTGTCACCCTGTACCTGGACTTTCACCCCTGTACTACCATTCCTCTTTAAATGGCATCATGTGGCCTTGTCCTCCCCCCTCTGATTGTCCCTTATTCTCATCCCCCTCTGTCATCTTGTGTCCCCCTCCCCTTTTGTCCCACCCCACCCCCACCCCTCACAGCCACCTACCCTCATCCTGCACCCTGTGTCTGTGGGTCTTTGGCCTCCCTTGTGTCCCCAGGCTGGCTGTTGCCTCTGTCAGGCTGTCCCCTCAGGCTGTGCTAGGGAGTGGCTGGGTAGTTCAGGGTCTGAGGATAGCCGTTGAGCTGCTTGTGGCCTGGGTGTTCAGGGGCCCCTGGGAGGAGGCTGTGCCCTGTGATGAGGCAGCCATGGTCCCCTCTGGGGTCTGTCAGTTCAGCAGCCTTCTCCAACAGTGTCATAGGGGCTGGGGACACCACCCCTCCTGGGAATCCCTCCAGTCTGTTCCTTCCAGCTCTGTGTTAACCGAGCACAGCACTGTGGGGGACGCTTTTGCAAGATGGGTGGTGAAGCTGTCCTCTAGGCTGGAGAGGGCAGTGGCTGCCAGCTTATGGGGGGAAGTTCTCAGGCCCTTAGGTCAGGGTTGCCCTAGGCTGCAAAAGAAACATCTACTGACTTTAACCCTAGCAGATGCCCTGGCCAGCCTGGAACTCTCTATGTAGCACAGGCTGACCTGAATCTCACAGTGGTGGGATTAAAGGCATGTACCACCATGCCCAACAAGATGGTCTGCTCTAATGAACCCTGAGACCCTTCCCACCTGCATCCTGGAGGACCCCCGTACTGTCCCCCAGGGGAGGAGGAGAGCTGTCAGGGACATGAGCTCTGGGGTTTGGACAGGTCAGTGTGGTGGTATGAGGCAGAGGGTGCTCTCAGGGCACAAGGGTCCCATGTTTGGAACATCACTCGGTGCCAGCCTGGGGCAGGGACCCTGAGCAGGGACTGACATGACCTCTGGATTCTGCAAACAAGTTTCAGAGAGGCCAAGCCACTGGCCCAAGGTTAACCAGCCAGGCAGCCTGGCACTGACAATGGTTAACCAGGCCCAGCATGGAGTATGGTCACAGGGTAGAGTCCAGGGGCTCAACCAGGCTTCCTGGGGCAGCCCCACCAAAGCCAGGGGTTCCTAGGAAATCCTCAGCCCTCAATAGTCAGCCAGCATGGTCGGTTTCATTTCTCAATCCCAGGGGGAGGAGATGAGGTCATCCTCCAGAGGAAGTGGAAGTGGGAAGAGAAGTGTGGGGCAATGGGGAGGGGCTCCGTCTCAGAGGGACCCCAATTTCATCAGCTTAAATTGGAGTCATGATAAAAAGGGCCAGGTCTCACTGGGCAGAATGCTTGTAACTCAGTGATTAAAGTGCTTGTAGCTCAGTGGATAGAGCATGCACCTAGCATGCATGATGCCCAGGATTTATCCCCAGCACCACATAAACCAGGTGTAGGTGCTGCACACTTGTCATCCCAGAACTCAGGAAGTAGAGTCTGGAAGATCAGGAGTTCAGGGATATCCTGGCTGGGCTACCTATCAAGATGTAGGCCAGCCTGGGCTACATGAGGTCCTGTCTTAAAAAAGTGGTTAGGGCCAAGCATGGTAGCACATGCTTTGAATCCCAGCACTTGGAGGGCAGAAGCAGGTGGATCTCTGTAAGTTCCAGGCCAGCTGGGGCTACAGGGAGACCCTGTCTCAAAAAAAGAAAAGAAAATAGGGAGAAAAAGCAGTATGCAGAAGAGGTTTGGGGCAGGTGGTCTTTGGACAAAACAGGTGAGAGGAAATGTATTCAGAGCTCTGGGGAGGCCATCCCAGGGCTGAGGGCACAACTGTGCACAGGCCCCAGGGCACAGTGGATTCTAGTATGTTGGAGGAGCATTGAGGAGGCTAGAGTCCCATGTGGCAACGGAGGGGGCAACTGGGCCTTGTGGGATCTGGGAGGGTCTTGCATTCACTGGGTGCATGCATGGCTGCTTTTCTCGAGAGTATGGGGCCCCAGCCTGTCTTGGCAACCCTGGGCTCTGTTGTCTGAGGCCCTGGGAAAGGCTCCTTTATGAGCTGGCATGGTGGACTCTCCTCTGAACCCCGGGAACACAGGATTTCTGGTCATCCAGCTGTGCCTCTTGGGGGCCCAGAGCATAGGGAAGTTTTCCCCATGGGGGACATATACCACCAGCAGTGTGACCCCCAGCTCTGGGCCCACAGGCCCCCTGTCTTCATCTGTTGCTTTCTCCTTGCCCTGTTCACAGGCCACTGTGCCCTTCTGAATGTAAGGCGTATGGCTGGTCTGCCCTGTGCCTCAGTTTCGCCATCTGAGCAGTAGGTGGAGACCGGGCCCCTCTGTCCAGTTTGCCTCTCTCAGTTTCCCTTCCCCTGTGTCTTTGGCCCTCTCTGTTTGTTGGGTCCCCCCAGCCAGGCTTGGGAGCCAGGTGCACAGTCTGCTCATCTTCTGACACCCCATCCTTTGTCACAGGCACCATCTGCGTTCTGCTTTCCTTCCCATTCATATTCAGCCCATGCCTGGGCTGTGGGGAGGCCACGCCAGAGTGGGCAGCACTGGTCTATTATGGACCCTTCATTGTCGTCTTCCAGTTTGGCTGGGCTGCCACACAGATTGCCCACCTGAGCCTCATCCCAGAGCTGGTGACCAGCGACCACGAGAAAGTGGAACTCACAGCCCTCAGGTACCTGGGGTTGGAGACAACCAGACTGGAAGCCAGGGTGGCCTGGCTGGGTGGCCCCAGGGTTCCTGACCACACAGCTTACACATGGGGAATTGAGTATCAATCAGCTACAGCTGTGTAACAAATGAGCCACAGAAAGAAACATGCATGTCCTGCCACTCCCACTTTCTTTCTAGAGTTACCTGATTAGGCCAGGCCCACTGGGGACACGCTCCCTTTAAAGAACCCCGGCCCACCTATTGTATTCCTATGGCTTCTGAGTTTGGAAGGGACATTCAGGAGGGATCTTCAGGCCCCACCATGAGGGGAGGAGGCTGGAGGAGGGAAGCCTGCCACTCCTGCCTACCTTGCACCAGCTTGAGGAGGTGCTAGATGTTACACTACAGACATGAGGGGTAGTAGGCATGTACTGAGTACCTGTTATGTATCAGGCACAGTTTCTGACTTGGAACATGCTAAAGCCCCGCTCCTCACCCCACAGATATGCGTTCACTGTGGTGGCCAACATCACCGTCTTTGGGGCTGCCTGGCTGCTGTTGCATCTTCAGGGCTCCACACACGTGGGGCCTGATGTCGGTGTGGGTGACCTACTTGGGGAACAGGATGTGCCAGTGTTCCGGGTGAGCCAGGCTGGGCCAGGTGGGTCACCTCAGAGTCCCTACGCCTGTGAGGGCCATGGCTGACACCCTCCTGTCCTTCCAGAACCTGGCCCTGCTGGTGGTGGGTGTGGGTGCCATCTTCTCCTTCCTCTTCCACCTGGGCACCAAGGAGGGGTGCCGGCCTCAGCCTCGGGGGATGGACCCCGATGAGTACAGCCCCCTGGTGGCCTCCACAGCCCGGCCACTGCTGCTCTGGAAACAGTGGCTGAAGGAGCCAGCTTTCTACCAGGTACTTGGGGGTGGCAGCAGAACTGGGGTAAGCAATTATTGAGCACTTGCTGTATGCCAGGCACTATCCCCACTGGAACCCTTCCTTTGTGAAGCTGCAGCCTGCAGAGCCAGTAGATAGGGTAGCAGACATGACTCCTTGCTGTGTCCACACTTTGAACAGACGTTACTAATCAACCTCCTATTCTACACCCAGGGCAGATGTTAATAAACAATCTTTCAGTCTCACCATGGGCAGCTATTATTAATCAACAGTAACTGATTAGTTTGCTTATTCCTAGGGCAGACATTACTGATCAATTTTCCATCCCACAGGCAGAGTAAGGATACTTATTTCTGCTGGGCAAGGTGGCGCATGCCTTTAGTCCCAGCACTCGGGAGGCAGAGGCAGGTGGAGCTCTGTGAGTTTGAGGCCAGCCTGGTCTACATAGTGAGTTTCAGGACAGCTGGGGCTACAGGGAGACCCTGTCTCAAAAAGA